GAGGCAGAAAAGGTATGCAGTATTGCAGCCAAAGGCTTTGCAAAGGGAAGCAGCACCTCCTCATGTTAAATGAGGGGTGTTGAGTTGGTGTTAGCATAGAGCTAACAAGCTATTTCACAAGTTAGCATAGAGCTAACAAGCTATTTCACAGCTAGCAGGTTAGCACAGAGCTACCAAGCTATATCACAGCTAGCGGGTTAGCATAGAGCTAGCAAATTATTTCACAGCCAGCGGGTTAATTTGTAGGTAGCAAGTTGTTTCACAGCTAGCGGGTTAATATGTAGCTAGCAAGTCGTTCACAGCTAGCGGGTTAAAATGTAGCTAGCAAGTCATTTCACAGCTAGCGGGTTAATATATAGCTATCTAGTTGTTTCACAGTTAGCCGGTTAATATAGAGCTAACAAGTTATTTCACAGCTAGTGAGTTAAGATATAGCTAGCAAGCTGTGTCACAACTAGCGGGTTAATATGTAGCTAGCAAGTTATTTCACAGCTAGCAGATTAATATATAGCTAGCAAGCTATTTCACAGCTAGCGGGTTAAAAAGTAGCTAACAAGTTGTTTCACAGCTAGCGGGTTAATATGTAGCTAGCAAGTTATTTCACAGCTAGAGGGTCAAGATTTTGCTAGCAAGTTGTTTCACAACTAGCGGTTTAATATGTAGCTAGCAAGTTGATTCACAGCTAGAGGGTCAAGATTTTGCTAGCAAGTTGTTTCACAACTAGCGGGTTAAGATATCGCTAGCAAGTCATTTCACAGCTAGCGGGTTAAAATGGAGCTAACAAGTTATTTCATAGCTAGCAGGTTAATATATAGCTAGCAAGTCATTTCACAGCTAGCGGTTTAAAATGTAGCTAACAAGTTATTTCATAGCTAGCGGGTCAATATATATCTAGCAAGTCATTTCACAGCTAGCGGGTTAAAATGTAGCTATCAAGTTGTTTCACAGCTAGCGGGTTAATATGTAGCTAGCAAGTTATTTCACAGCTAGCGGGTTAATATATAGCTAGCAAGCTGTGTCACAACTAGCGGGTTAATATGTAGCTAGCAAATTGTTTCACAGCTAGCGGGTTAATATATAGCTAGCAAGTTGTTTCACAGCTAGCGGGTTAATATATAGCTAGCAAGTCGATTCACAGCTAGTGGGTTAATATATAGCTAACAAGTTGTTTCACAGCTAGTGGGTTAATATATAGCTAGAAAGTCGATTCACAGCTAGTGGGTTAATATATAGCTAGAAAGTCGATTCACAGCTAGTGGGTTAATATATAGCTAGCCAGTCGTTTCACAGCTAGCGGGATAAAATGTAGCTAACAAGTTGTTTCACAGCTAGCGGGATAAAATGTAGCTAACAAGTTATTTCACAGCTAGCTGGTTAAAATGTAGCTAACAAGTTGTTTCACAACCAGCGGGTTAAATTAAAGCTAGGAAGTTATTTCACATTTAGCGAGTTAATATATAGCTAGCAGGTCATATATCACAGCTAGCGGGTCAATATATACCTAGCAAGTTGTTTCACAGCTAGCGGGTTAATATATAGCTATGAGAACATATAAACCATTAAGAGTTTCTGTTGACATATTTTATTAGCATAATAGGAGGCAGAAATCTGAAAAAAAATATATATATATATATTTAAATTATTTTAAGGGGATATTTATACATGTACAAATGATTTATTTTATGTGACCTTTTCTTTAATAAACTTATGGTATCAACACATCAGTTGTGTGATCTATGTATGTTTAAGTGAACCTGTGCTGGAAAAGTACTGCTAAACAGGGTTCTCCCGCCCTTTATAACTAGGGAGTGGCGTAGTCTGTATATTACTTGGTAGTAGAGGCCACATTATATATTGTATATATGATTATTTATGAGCTGATGTGCGTCTCTGTTGTAGGTCTGAATATCCTGATAAAGACGGAGCTGAACTTTTCTGACTGAAGACTCTGAAAGACTCTGAAAGACTGACCTCACAAACAGGTAAGTGTCTGTGTAGAAATATGAATCAGATTTAAATCACACTGGAAAATTATCCAGAAGACAAAACCAAACATACACATGTACTTAATAAAGAGCTGACACGCTTGTTGTCCTAAAATGACAAAATATGATTTAAAGAGATTTTTAAAAATATAAAATATACAAACCCAAGCAGAGAGAAATGTAACCAAGACAACTGGCTTGGGGAATCTTACAATGTTACTAATAATAATAATGGCTAGTAGTGTTGGCTACCTAGTGAATTCACTATGAAGTGATCATTCCAAAACTACAACACACTGTGCAGAATAGCCATGGTCAGACTGATTAATGATGGTCAGCTCAAGTGAAAATCTGGATATTATTTAATAACTGTGATAGGATGAACTGTCAGGACAGGGATTTTCTGACCTTTGAAAGATGTTCCAGCACAGCACATTCCTGAATCACATATTCTCTAAATAAAACAATTTAGCCAAAGTCATAATGTGTTAAACAGATTTTCTGCTTTGCATATTTGCAGTGTGTTTTCACAACAGCGGTACTGACTACTTTAAGTAAATGCATCTGTGTATCTCAAACTACAGGCCTGTCACCAGTGGTTCTGTATTCAGACCTCTGAGGTTCTGTTCTGCAGGATTGTTCATCATGAACGTTACTACTCACCCCATCACGGTCTTTTCACATTCATGCTGTGTGGAGAGAGAGTGAAAGAACAAAACCTCCAGTTTTCAGAAAAGTTTCTACAGCTAGACCGAGGGTCCCAGTTCCAGTCCTGAGGACCCCATACTGTGCAGAATTTCCCCTTCTGAATTAAAAAGGTTGTGTTGGTTCCTGTTGGTGCCCAATAGTCACTAATGGTATTCTGTGTTTTCCTGAGGGGCTGATATCACAGTGCAAAGGATTCTAATCGCTTGTTCTGGAACTGATTCCAGATGGTTTCCTATTGGGATCTAAAGGTGTCCTACAATAAGCAGGAAACTAGTGGTCTCTAATGATATCCATTAAGCCAATTCCCATTAGAAAGCAAATCCATCAGGTTTTAATCTTAGTGGTTCTAAAGGTCTTGTATTAGCAGGGTCATATTTTCCCTTATCTACCATCTGATTCAACTAATTGACTGTTTAACGCTTCTCATGTGCTCAATCATGATTTAAGTAGAAAAAACACAAAGATGAGCAGATCATGTGGACCTCAGGACCAGGACTCGGACTAGAGGAACAGCTGAACGTCTCTCTTTCTTTCTCTCTCTCTCTCTCTCTCTCTCTCTCTCTCTCTCTCTCACACACACACACACACACACACACACACACACTCTCACACACACACACACACACTACCCTGAATTACAGCAGATCAGCATCCAAGCACATATGCTGGCCTTTATAAACCCTTGAACAGCGTCTTTCCTTCAACAGTTCAGCTCCTGTTTCTGTTCCTCCAACAGCGCTGTAGGAGCGCAAGGGCTGGACTGCAGATCTTCTCCACTTCATTAGAGCGGGAGAAGCTCACTCAGAGAATTAGCACCCCCTCCTGCACCGCAGGGGGCTTCACACCGAAACACCTCATCACAGACCAATAAAGTCGAATTGCAGTGAAAGGCGTTTCCGTAAAACAAGAACGCCCACATCAGGAACGCCCACTTATCATTCATTGGCCGATATGTCTGCAAATGGCTTCTCTCATTGGTGGAAGCCTCTGGTGATTTGTAGAGTTCTGTCTGCGGTTTTGTGATCCCCGATTTGAACTTATGGTCTGAATGCCCATCATAACGGCAGCAATCAGCAGTGTTTTCAGCAGTACTACTCAATCTGGTTGGTTCATGGGGGTTTGTAATGCGTTTTGGCTTTTCTTGATGGGCTGAAAATGTAAAGGCATGGTTCAGCAGGTGACCTAGTGACTGATTCCAGATACATTTCTAATTCTACTTGGAAACTAGTGGTCTCTAATGGTAACCATTAGGAGACAAAAAACATTTTTTTAATCCTAATGGTCTTTATTCAGCAGGGGTTACCGAGGTGCTGCCAGCTTGCACAGTACAACTCTGGCAACCATGTGCTTATTTTCCACAAGTTTTAAGGTCGAAGTAAAATGTTAAGGTAACAGTAAAACTTACTGACATCATAATCTGTAATGAAAGCGCTCGCTCGGTGTTTTAGGGCCACTAATAAAAATAAAAGAGTAGACTTTGAGAATAAAGTCGTGATATTTCAAGACAAAAGTCGCATTTTTAGAATAAAATCGTAATATTTTCAGAGTCATAATGTTTTGATAATATATTACGATATTAATTACGACATTAAAGTGGGATATTACCAGAAAAGGTATGCAGTATTGCAGCCAAAGGCTTTGCAAAGGGAAGCAGCACCTCCTCATGTTAAATGAGGGGTGTTGAGTTGGTGGAGCTATACTTTCATATCGATTCACCCATAAAGAAACACTCAGTTTCCCTGTCTCTCCTGCAGATCAGCTCCAGCCTGGTATTAGTATAAGAACCGGCTGAAACGGCTGAGCAGGAAACTGTGTTTATGTAGAATAAAGAGCCAGACGGACTCGGAGGAAACTGTCTGTCTGTGTTGTTGAAGGAGAATCGCAGGCAGGGTCTCTACATGGCTATCGGGGGCTACATCTCCACACCATTCAAAGAGGGCATGAAGTTTCACAGACAGTGAGAATGATGATCAAAATGATCCACAGTGAGACAGGAGTGAGTGGGAACTCCAGGGCGCTCTTTAATCTCTAAATATTACGACTTTATTCTCAAAGCCTACTATTTTTATTTTTATTAACAGCGGCCCTAAAACGCCGTCGTAGTTCCGTTTACTCAGCAACGTCACTGTGGCTTTTACTCCAAAGCCCACCTGCCCCTGGCGTCACATGAGGGGCGTTCCTGAGTCGTGTCTATATCACAGAAACGCCCTCATATGGTGCTGCAATTCGACCCTCCTCATCACAGAAGCTGAGGGATCTCACTCAGCTCCACACTTCGAACGAGTCTCTCACAGCCAATCAGATCTGACCTCGGCTTTTAGGGTAAACCAATGGCTCTGAGAAACGCCTGAAATATACCCGCCCACCAGAGGGCTAAAACAACAGAGGCGGAGGAAAAGAGACTAGAGAGAGAGAGACACACTCAGAGAGAGAGAGAGAGAGAGAGAGAGAGAAAGGGGCGGAGGAAAACCGGAGGAAAAGAGACTCTAGAGAGAGAGAGGGTGGAGGGAGGGGCAGAGAGAGTGTCACTCTGAAACCGTTATAAACGGAGAGAAGATTGTCTTTGGATTCACTCGGTAAGTTCATCAATGACAGAAATGCGGAATATCTGCTGTAGTTTAAAGCAGGAACGCGTTTTTCTGTGTTTCACAGATACTAAACTGTTCTTTCATTCTTTCAGCTGAACACATTAAATTTACTCTACAGCGGTTACACAGTGACCGATCACTGAAACACGAGACAGACATCTGGTCAGAGGGCCGAGAGTGAGTTTGAGTGAAGGTCTAAATGCATAAACGCTGTAAACTGAGCGGCGAATACAGATATAGTCGTATTTAACGCTGATAGCTGTGCGTTTGAGTGAAGGTCTAAATGCATAAACGCTGTAAACTGAGTGGTGAATACAGATGTAGTCGTATTTAACGCTGATAGCTGTGTTTTTTGTCTGAATTCAGAGCGCATTACTGTTTATGAGGAACATTGAGCTAATAAAGCACTAATACTGTAAAAGGTGTGGTGATGTGCAGTAGCGCTGTCTTCAGACCTGCAGCGCTTTAGAGGGGCGTGTTTATTAGCTCTATCAGTCATATCCACCTTCATTAGACTCATTATTGAGCACATTGAAGCCCCACTCAGAGATCAATGCAGCAGTCAGGCAGGTTTTCAGTAGTTCTACAGCAGATTTTTATAGCTTTCAGTTAATAATGTACACCATTTGCACTATGTGAAACTGAAAATAATATATCATTGCATTCATAGTTTATCATATTTTTAAGTGTGGCAGATGATTCTCTAGTTTGAACAGCTTATTCACTTATTAATGCTTAGAAAAACTAAAAATTGTGATGCACATCTCTCTCTCTCTCTCTCTCTCTCTCTCTCTCTCTCTCTCAGTATTACTGTGTTCAGCCACTCCTGGGTGTTTTTCTAATGAAATCATTCAGACACTCATTGAGTTGAACCTGAACTGAAACCATTTCTCTGTGAACAGAAATACAGTAACTTCCTGAAGTTCTCCTGTAGTAACTCTGTCACTGAGCTTCATGCTGTATTTCTCTTCATGTATGAGTGGAACATTAAAACCAGTTTAATCTGACTGTACATGGATGATGTAGTTAATAATGAGACCATTAGAACAGCAGCACTGCTGTCTGTCTGGATTTCTGGGTCACATACAGACAGTCTATTCAGTGTTTACTCACTTTACACATATAAACCCAAAACACTTATTTATACATCAGTATGAAGTTTTATACACAAATACACGTTTGATTTGACCTCAGATATACTTTTAATATAATCAGAGGAAAATGTTCTCCTTTTCTCTTTCTAAAGAAAAGGAAGTTGTCAGATTATGGTTCAGTCTGTTCAGTCTGAACTGTGACAGAGTGTGTGTACAGGTGTGTATGTATAGGTGTGTAATGTAATAAACTGATCTACTGTGAGACTACAGTATTAAAATAGAGCTGATGTGTGTCTCTGCTGTAGGACTGGAGATCCTGATAAAGACGGAGCTGAACTTTTCTAACTGAAGACTCTGAATGACTCTGAACACTGACCTCAGAAACAGGTAACTCTGCTCTCATCTTTAAAGACTCCGAACACTGATCTCAGAATCAGGTAACTCTGCTCTCGGCTTTAAAGACTCTGAACACTGACCTCAGAATCAGGTAACTTTGCTCTCAGCTTTAAAGACTCTGAACACTGACCTCAGAATCAGGTAACTTTGCTCTCAGCTTTAAAGACTCTGAACACTGACCTCAGAATCAGGTAACTCTGCTCTCAGCTTTAAAGACTCTGAACACTGACCTCAGAATCAGGAAACTCTGCTCTCGGCTCTAAAGACTCTGAACACTGACATCAGAATCAGGTAACTCTGCTCTCAGCTTTAAAGACTCTGAACACTGACCTCAGAATCAGGTAACTCTGCTCTCAGCTTTAAAGACTCTGAACACTGACCTCAAAATCAGGAAACTCTGCTCTCAGCTTTAAAGGCTCTGAACTCTGACCTCAGAATCAGGTAACTCTGCTCTCGGCTTTAAAGACTCTGAACACTGACCTCAGAATCAGGAAACTCTGCTCTCGGCTCTAAAGACTCTGAACTCTGACCTCAGAATCAGGAAACTCTGCTCTCAGCTTTAAAGACTCTGAACTCTGACCTCAGAATCAGGAAACTCTGCTCTCAGCTTAAAGACTCTCAACACTGACCTCAGAATCAGGTGACTCTGCTCTCAGCTTTTAATGGATATTATTACTGCTATTTCTGCTTGTGAACATGGTTTTCAGTGTGGATTACAGAAGGTAATGTGGAGACTGTCTTCACGCCTGGGTTGTTTGCTGAAGTCCACATCCGAGTTTGAGTTTTTTTGTGATATTGTACCATTTTCGTTTGGTTAGTTTCATATTACAAAAGATAAAGTCCACCATTTTATACACAAGCAGTGTTTCCTCTAGATTATTTCAGGCTGGGTGGTTGACCCCTTCACTGATACTAGTGTATTTATGTGTATGTGGGGTCAGCAAACATGTGGAGCATCATCATGAAGAGTTATTAATAGTAATGCATTGTACATGTGAACAAACTACATTGTACATTCTCTACATTTATTCTAAGAAGCTTAATTGTTATTGTAGGAGTTTATTAGTAGCTTATTTTAAATCACATTAAGAGAAAGATTTGATCCACAGTCACCTGATCAACATGATGAGCGATGCTGCACTTTATGGTAGACGGTGTTTCTCTCAGCTGCTGTAACTTTGTGCTGCTGTGAAAAGCTGAACATTTACTGCTGTTAGCATTTCTGTACTGTTCACCTTTTTCTGAGTCTGGAACAGATTAAACTACTGACCACACAGCGCTGCTGATCAAAAACCGCTGACCACACAGCACTGCTGATCAAACTACTGACCACACAGCACTGCAGATCAAACTAATGACCTCACAGCACTGCAGATCTAACACTGACCAAAACTGTGGGGAAAAATATAAACACAATGGTACAGAGCATCTGTTAATTAGTGTGTGAAGATGTATTTTTAAAAAAGATAAAGACACCCCTCAGACCCATCAAAGATAAACAGACCCCCTCAGACCTTCTCAAAGATAAACAGACCCTCTCAGACCTCTCAAACTCCAGAGAACACATCTCCGCTGCTCTAGAGTCCAGTGGCGGCGCTTTACACCACTGCATTCAACGCTTTGCATTGCGCTTGGTGATGTAAGGCTTGGATGCAGCTGCTCGGCCATGGAAACCCATTCCATGAAGCTCTCTGTGCTCTGAAGGCCACATGAAGTTTGGAGGTCTGTAGCGATTGACTCTGCAGAAAGTTGCTGACCTCTGTGCACTATGCGCCTCAGCATCCACTGACCCTGCTCTGTCATTTTACGTGGCCAACCACTTCGTGGCTGAGTTGCTGTCATTCCCAATCTCTTCCACTTTGTTATAATACCTCTGACAGTTGACTGTGGAATATTTAGTAGCGAGGAAATTTCACGACTGGACTTGTTACACAGGTGGCATCCTATCACAGTACCACCCTGGAATTTACTGAGCTCCTGAGGCAATGTAGGCAATGTTGCACATATAGCTCTAGAAACACAGAGGTTGGCTAATAAATGTAGAAGGAGAGCATATCAAGGGATAAGGACCAGGGGTATTTGTCCATTAGTGTGACTACTCTACCTGTGTCTACAAGCAGACAAAAAGAAACATAAACTTTATTTTACAAATATCAAAAAATACATATTTTTGGTGATATACATCTGTGCAGCTGACTGTTTAAAAACAATTAAATGTTGTTTCACCCTGAACCCCTAGCGGTCAGAAAACATTACAAAAGTTAGATAAATGGTATTATGACTATAACAATATTGCCATCACTGCACAGATCTCTGCAAACTATGGTTAAACATTCTTTTGGACATTTGTATTCCGTTTAATCAGTATACAAACTTTGATTTTTATTTTGACAGGACTTTATAAACAGTCTATTGTAAACAAAGGTTATCAACACTGGGAGTTTCCTTATTAGCCAAAGCAGATACCCAAAAACCTGAATAATGGCCCAATATGTCAGCCAGCTAATGTATCTGATGGTGTACTTGAATATGAGAAGATTTACTAACCTTCACAGTTGCTTTTGTTGTTGTTTTCTCTGGTGCATGTCAGAGAGTTGCCTGCTCATGTTGAGGCCGTCATTGTAAGAGATGAAGGCAGGTCTAGTGAACTATGGGTCTACATTAGGATAATTACTGATTTAGTTATGGCTGAATTATGTTGTATTTTTAATTGTTTGAATGGTTCATCTTGCATGCAGAACTCTATTTTTGCTTTTAACAACTCTATTTTGCTTTTTCATTCTTCAAGCTGCTGTTCAGGAATCATGTTCCTCTGTGTGATGCTACTGATTTTCACTGGCTTTATGGAGACCATATCAGGTACATGAGCAATGTAAAGAAACTGTGTGTGTCTGAGAGAGAGAGAGAAAGAGAGAGTGAGTGAGAGAGAGAGTTATGCTGTGGCTAAATGTGTATGTGTATCTAAAGTGAAAGATTTATTATGAATGATTTATTATTCATTAAGATTTATATTGTTAGCTTACTTACCTATAAAATTTGCAATAAATAATTACAGAAGACATATATGGAAAAAGTCAAACACTTAAAACTTTATCCTTTGATGTAAATACCAAAAATAAATTCAATCTGAACAATGTGTCCACATCTCAGTACTTCAAATGCATTGTTTAAAGTAAACCTGATTTTCCTTTGTAGTAACATAACAGGTTTCCATTGTTATTTTCTCATTGTTTTTTAATCATTTTATTATACATCATGACTTTTTTTTTCTTTGTAGAAAACGTTAAGGTAGTTGGTCCAGCTGCTCCTCTTGTTGTTAAAGTTGGTGAAGATCTGGTTCTGCCCTGTTCTCTCCAACCCAACATCAGTGCTGAGGATATGATGGTGGAGTGGATCAGAACAGATCTGAGCAGAACTGACACAGTAGTGCATCTGTATAAAGACTGTAGAGACACAAATGACAAGCAGATTAAGTCTTACAAAGGAAGAACAGCTCTGTTTAAAGAGGAACTCCAGAAAGGAAACACCTCACTGAAACTGTCAGCAGTCCAACCTTCTGATGAAGGCATTTATCAGTGTGCCATTAAATCAGGGCCCTGGTTTGATGACATCATTGTTCATGTTGAAGTCAAAAGTGAGTGACAACAGTTTCAATATTGACTTATTATTATTATTATTATTATTATTATTATTGTTATTATTATTTAAAATGAATTTTAGGGTCATAGTTGTTGGAAATCAACAGCTGAGGGTGAATCAATATTATACAAACAAACTAGTTAAGTCGGAAACATTAAGTCTGAAATGTCTGAAAGAGTGAAGAGGCTTCTTTATGTGTAATATGTTGAGGTAGCGGAAAGTAACTCGAAGTGTACTGTATCTGAAAAGTTAGATGTTTATAAAATGGAGGGAGGAAAATCCAAGATTAATTTTGGGAGGCCTAAGAGTAAATTATAAAAATTATTAGGTATATAAATGGTTACAGAGGCGAAATTTTAAATTAGTGTGGTACTTATAGTTTTGGACTGAGTAAAAGGAGCAATGTTTTGTTTGTAGTAGGGCCTATGAGGACACCACTGGTAATCTGATCGTATCAAAATAGTGAAATCAAGTAATTAGTGTGCTCCACTGACCCTGTTTAGATGTAGTGATACTGTGTGACAGATCAAGTGCAATAGATTGCAGAAGTACTAAACTTGTAGCTAATTATGACTACATTGAGAGAATAATAGGAGAAAATTTATGCATCCTTTTTTAGTAATCATGATTTACTTTTTCTTCCTAGAACTTTTAAAAGTAGTTGGTCCAGCTGCTCCTCTTGTTGTTGAAGCTGGTGAAGATTTGGTTTTGCCCTGTTTTATGAAACCCAGTGTCAGTGCTGAAGACATGATGGTGGAGTGGATCAGACTGCATTTGCCCTCTGAAACCACCGACACACTAGTGCATCGGTATAAAGGATATGAAGACAGAAATGAGAGGCAGATGGAATCTTACATAGGGAGAACAGCCCTATTTAAGGAAGAACTGAACAAAGGAAACACTTCACTGAAACTCTCAGCAGTCCAGCCTTCTGATGAGGGAGCTTACCAGTGTTACATTAAGTCTCTCAAATGGTATGATGGTGTAGCTGTTACTGTTGAAGTTAAAGGTAAGAACCATCACAATTTCAGTGTATGATTACTTTTGATTTATGATGTACTTGCAAAAAAATACATGAATTCATCGGTAACATTTCACATTATGGGTCACTAATTACGTTATTAAGTGGTTAATTTCACTTTATTGATATAACAATTAACTATTCATCAAGCACTTTTTAACACATAGTAACAGATAAAGTACTTAATAATACGTACTTCAGTACATTGTTAAACCACTTACTTATTAAGTGAGTACTGGCTACTGATTATTGTGTTGACAACAAACAAAAAATGTGTGTGTTTACTCATATAAAGAAGTAACATTAGAACTAGAGCTTACTCCGTAGTCCTGTTAATAATCGTTTTCCTTCATTGTGCAGCCTTGCATGGAACATAATATTTGGGCTTTGGTGGCCACTTTCACCTCCTCAAATTCAGCTGTTTTTTTATTCTCTTACTTCCTATTGTTGTCAGTCTTTTCTTTTGCCAAATGAAGAGACTTCAGGAGAACAGGGTTTGCAGAAATTATGAGCTTTATTCAAGCTTTACTCAGCAGGCCAGTCTGATGAAAAAGTGGGAACTTTATACTGACTATTTGTGCTGCAGCTGTCATCTGTTAATGATTATGTCAGGACAACATACATTGTTACAAGTAGCTGTTTGTGCATCTACTAAGGACAATAGACCCATACAGGCAGCTGTGCCCTTACAAGGGACAAGGACCCCCTCTGTTGTGAGTCATGAAACAGCTAATTGCCCGATATTTCACAGCTAAACTCATAATTGGTTACTAAGTAATATCCCTCCCAAATTAACAGTTAAGTAAAATATAATTAATGGATTGTCAGTGAATTTTTAACAACATAATGAATGATAGATTCATGACCTTTAAGTGTTACTATTTCATCTTTATAGAACAGAACCAGAGAGTGACCACAAACAGTATTTCAATTCCTTAAAGTATAACTTGAAATTATGTCAGTATGTGAGACAGTTTCATACAAACTGTACATAATTATAGAACTTTTTTGTGAAAGTATTTTTATTAAATATTTTAGTACACAAAAAAAAATACAGAAGACATACATAAAGACACACATGAGTAAAGAAAACATTCAAACTAGACCAGGTCCTGCTCCAGATTTTACTGTTAATTAAAGATTTTCATCAGCGCAAAAGCAAGATATGTCTTGCATAAAGTCTTTCCTAATTTTTCAACTATGACTAATATATCATTAAGTAAGTAATTTTTTATCTGGTTTGTATTTCAGGAAAAGGTTTTCATGCCTGGAAGATTGCCATCATCTTCATTTCAGTATTTGCCATTATATTAATCACCTTTACAGCGTACATCTTGAAAGGTACAGTTTTTATGAATTATTTTGAGAAAAAATATTTTTAAAAAATTTCCATATTTGGATTGTATGCATGTACATAAAATATGATGTCATGACCATATGCATTAGCATGATAACATGCCAAGTAAGTACACAAAAAAGCTAAACTCTTTTATGGATTTTCATATTTTAATTTTTTTTTTAAAGCACTAGGAAGTGGACAATGAAAAAAATGGTGCTTTAAGTTTTAAAATATTGTTGAAATATGTCAAGAACCTCTGGAGTAAATATTGTTTGTTAATATTATTATATTAGTATATATAAGTCTATGGCAGAGCACAGAAGTATCCATGAAGACATAACAACAGGGGAACGCAAGTAATACAGTTACATAACCTCCAAATGACACATAACACAGGAGGACAGTGATCACAGGGTGGGGCTATGAAAGAGACACAGGTGACACATATGATGAGGAAAATGGCCCAAATACATCAGAATCACACAGGCAATTAATGTCCATTAAAGTCACTTATGAAATTATTCTTTTCTAAAAGCAACCTTTTAATTTTTTTTCTAAAACTCACTGTTAATTTCAGGATTTGCTCAGAGAGAGTCATGTGTTCAAACAGTTACAGTCAATGGATGATGGTGGTTTCAGAAAGCTTTGCATTGTTTCTCTATAATTCCAGACAAATTTTCAGAAAAGAAGCTTTCTCCTGCACAGTGCTCAGTCATTACCTACATGCGTCTCCAGTCAGTTTATGTGAAGAAAGAGTTTGACCTGAAGAAATTCAACACATCAGAGGAGGGTTATAGAAGACTCATCCCAGCTATCTCAAACTACAGAAAGGCTCAGTGAGTGTTTAACATAAATACTGTTAAGCTAGTATTAATACTGTGTCATTACTTATGGATAAAATGTTAAAGAAGTCAAGGTGGTCTGAGGAGGTTAACTAAAATGGTCTTTCCAGAGCGCAGATCGATGATTACCTACTTACATCACAGAGTGTCTGTCTGTTTATGTTCCGGCACGTAATGTAAGATCTGCAGATAGTGGCCTTCTACAGATACCCTATGTAAAATACAGAAAACATGGAGAGGCCTCTTTCAGTTGGAACTCAATTCCACCTTTTATTAGACAGTCAAGCTCAATGCTCAATTTTAAGAAGAAGCACTTAAAAACGTATCTCTTTAAATTAGCTTTTAACTCAAACTGAATGTCTGATAGTGTTTATCTTGTAATTTAATCTTCATTTTATTCTGATTCTAATTAAGTACTAATGATCTTTTCTATAACTATGTTTTATCACCTGTCTGTAAAGCTCTTTGAGCTGCCACCGGCATGAAAAGTGTTATATAAATATAATTATTATTATTATTATTATTATTATTATTGATTAGTGTGACAAATTACATACAAATATTACATACTGTAATGTGGGGCTTTCCCCAAGAAATTTGGGAGAGTAGGGGGTTTGGTCAGTAGCAAAAGTTTACTGAGAAAACTCAAACACTGAGTAAGCAGCTACCAGTTAGAGGAGAGTTAGCTTTAGCAAAGCTCAGACTAAACTAGTACCCCTCTAACTGTTAGCTGCCAGGCTCCTCTTTTGTTGAACTTCAGCTAAATTAACTAAACAGAATAAAGGTGTCATTGATGCCACAGTACTTTATACACACACGCACATACACACACACGCACACACAAATTCCCATCCATTTTCAGGTTAGAGCTGGTTACTTCAGTAGGTAACAGCCTGATTTTTTTAAAGCGGCTACCCAGCTAACTTGTTCATGTGGGCCCCATGTGGGTTTTAACTACACTGTGTGGGTTTTACCTGGGCATAGTGGGCTTTTTGATGGGGTGTATGTGGGCCCTAGTTGAGTTATAACCATGGGCCCCAGTTGGGTTACAACCATGGGCCCCAGCTGGGCTACATTCATGGGTTCCCTTTGGGTTACATTTGTGGCCCCAGTTGGGTTACATTTATGGACCCCAGTTTGGCTATAGATATGGGCCCCAGGTGGGTTATAATTGTAGGCACACAACTCAAGCAAGTCCAGCTGCTCATTCATGTTTCCCGGGAGTTGCTTTATAATTATTTCTTGCAAGCCTTCCACCGCTGAGTATAAAAAAACAGAATTATAATGGTAAAAAAGTAATATTTAGTCCAATTCCACTGCTATCACCAAGTAAAATGGAACATTCTGTTGAAGCGATAAGATATTAGTCAAAATGAAAGAGAATTAAGCCTGTAAGCCATTCCTGTGACATCCAAAGTCCCTGGGGCGCGTAGGGGCATGGTACTCCCCAATCGTGGTCTCTCCACAAAAGGGGTTCTGAATATCCAAGGTCCCAGTAACACACATTTCATGGGGCAAACGCTCCTCAGCCATGAGTGCAACAGCAGAGAGACTGACTCCTTCCCCAGCACAGTGGTACTCATTGCCTCAGCTATGACAGCTTGAAGGCAGGCTGGTGTAGCAAGCTGATTGATCCCATCTCCTCTGGCAACAGCACACACAGGAGGTGCCCCAGTGCCAAATCCTCGGTGCTGTTCTCTCAAATCCTGGATATGCCTGCTGAACCATCGCACTCAGCGCCACCGTCACCTTGAAGTGCAGCTGGAGAGCTGTGGCCAAAGCTGCCTGGCTGCCATGCTGCTCTGCCAGCAAGTCCTTGCCGGCCGCTGTCCAAATGCCCTCCCGCTGGGCTCTGCTGTCAGTCCTTGTTGTGCTTCTTCTACCTCCACAGTTCACAGCCAGGCTGAGTCTTCTGCTTGAGCTTGTGGTAGTGCCATGCTCCTCCAGACTGCTGGGGTGTGCTATCATACTTCTGACACTACATGTGATGTCTTGGCAAAGAAGGTGACATGGGAAATATTCACTTTTGATGAATGCTCTTTATTGAACAAAGCAGCAGTGGTGCCTACTGAAGCAGCACTACTGAAGCAGCAGGGAAGCAGGCAGGACACTTCTCACCATACATTTTCCATTCCTGGTAGACACACACAACCGCCTAACTTCACCAAAGTCCGGCATAACTATGCAAGATCAACACATAAACACATTTTAGACTAATGAAGAGCAACTTATTTACAAACTAAAGTTTCTCATTTCCCGGGAGCGACATCTCCCAAGAGATGAGTAGTCACTCTGTGTGGCCATGCCTCCTCCTGTGTGTCCATAGCTGAATGAGCCAGTAGGGGAATGCTACAATATTTTACCATAAATCTACCATAAGAACCCATCTTAAATGAATGAAACAGCAGGTGTGGATGTCTCTCCCACTCACTTGGCTTTTAGAAAAGGAGTGTTTTAATAGTTTTAGTGTATGGGTTAATGTATGACATAGCTGTTTACTGAGTGTGTTTTTAATGCTATTGAGGAAAGCAAACACTCAAAGAAATTGGTTTCAATTAAATTGGGGGTGGTATACATTAGACTTATTTAAAACAGAAAGTATTATCAATTTTGTTGTACTTGTTCATTTATTTATTGTGGTGGTGGTATACTATTCTGTAAGCCTTAAGACAATTTTGTTTTGAGAAAATCAATTTTAGTCATTGTGCACATTCTTATTTTGTATCTTCATCACTTTGATTTGGAATCATGCGATTACATTCCACATGCAAACATTTCTGAAAGTTCATATATTTTACTCACTTTATTTTCTTCCCCATTCTGAAGATTTGCTGGCTGTAATCTCACTGTACAGTCCATCAAAACTTTGACTGAAGCTCTACAAACTGAAAACTCCTCCCTGAAAGAACTGGATCTCAGCAAAAATAACCTTGAGCCCTCAGTAGTGGAGTTACTTTCTGCTGGACTGAAGAGTTCACATTGTAAACTGGAAATACTCAGGTCAGACTCCACAAATATGCGAAATTAATGTCTTAACGTAACTATTTCCAAACCTTGCCTCTAAGAAACCCAGTATTTACACAGATCATCCAGTATTTGTTTGATCTAATTATTCCTTCATTAAATTAATGAAATATAAGTGCTGTGCAACTGAACAGTTACACAAAAAATTTGCTTTTTAGCTTAAATCTGCACCTTTCAATCATGTTATGTCAAGAGAGGAGAATAATCTAGCTACATAAATATTGTTTAGCAGGCTATTAAGGCAGAACAAACTCTGCAGCTGTTCAAACAGCCATCAAGTTAACTTTAGCTGGCTAGCTAGCTATCTAAGCTAACTTATTTTCAGCAAGTAATCAAAATTATCCTAGAGATAATCATGTGTTCTATTTTCTTATCCATGATGTGTCATTGAAAACCAGTCAGTTAGAATGACATTGTTTGAGAATCTCATAGTTTGTTAACAGTATGCTGACTAGTTGTTTCATGAAACATTTTTCATGAAGTAGTTGCAACTGTTGTGACTGTTGTAGCCTTACCCTCACCCAAATAATATTGGTCAGCAGTCCTACGGTGATGTCTTTCCATTGATGAACAAGAAAGAGGGGGATGATAAATTGTGCAGCAACAGATAGTCTACATTCAGAAAACGTACATAGTGCACATAATTTGCAGGTTGATCTGTTAAATGGCCAATAAGTATAGGTATAATGTTGGTGCACATAATATATTGACAACAAAGTGTATCTGCGACATAATTTGTTTTTAATTGTTTTAAATGTTTATTCCAACTGTTGTGACTTCTGTATGTGAATACATTAATTGAAAAAGTTATATGTTCACATATCTGAAAAACTATCTATAACTGAAAATAATTAAAAACACATAGTTATACAGATTAGGTGAAGGAACAATCACTGCAATAATTATGCCAGGAAAACAAACACAATGATGGTCCTGTCTCTTATTACATAAAGAAATAACAATATAACAGTTCCAATGATGATTTCTTTAACAGTTTTATTCATGTATTTCTGTATGATTCCACATCTTCTGATTGAACTGTGCTCTCTGTATTTGCTCTCCCTCTGCAGATTGGCCGTCTGTAATTTCACTGTGGAGTCCTGCAAATCTCTTGTAACAGCTCTACAAACAAAAGTCCACTCCATGAAGGAGCTGGACTTATGTAGCTATGACCTCCAGGATTCTGGTGGCATGGAGCTGCTCTCTGCTGGACTGAAGCCTGGAGACTGTAAACTGGAGATACTCAGGTCAGTGTTTGTCAAATTATTTATTTGTAAATATTTCCTGAGATGTACTGTAGTGAGATACTGAAGTATTGTTGTGAGAGACAATAGTCTCGACAAATTTGCTGCAAGAGATGTTTGAAGTTTACAAAAATGCAGATAAGTCGTAGAGTTGATGGACAGGTAGAGTTTATGCAGGAATGTGTAAGGCTCAGTCACTACTATAGAGTGATTTGACAGCCTTACATTGAAAACAAAGTACTTTATATTGAAGAAGAAAAAGGATTGAAACAATGAAATATATTCTCTGTGCTACTATTTAAGTTATTTGAGGTTTGTTTTATGTCATTATTATGTTGTACATTATTTTGCATTTTTCATCATACTGTGTAATTTTATTGTTATTTAGGTGGAGGCTTTATATAAGCCTATTAGGTTTTTTGCCTCTCCCCATGCTGTATGTTATCCTAGTCTATTTGTGTATATTTTAAATTGTGCAAAATAAATTAAAACTTAAAACTTAAAAAAAGGATTGAAACAATGAAATATGTTCTCTGTGCTACTACTCAGGAAACAGCACCAGATCCAGCACAAACTCCATTTGCTCATGTTATCTGTCACTGTCAGTACTTTTCTCCTAATCTCTGTCCTGCTACCCAGCCTTAAACACAGTCCAATCATTCTAACGGTCCTGCTGGCACAGCATTATTAATTTCCAAAATAAGCCACTAGTTATATACCAACTACTCTGCTAACCAGACCTAAACACTGCCTTACTCATCTCCAAAACAATCCATATTGTTTCATATTGACTGTCCTGCTAAATAGATCTAAACACAGGATTATTAATCTCCAATGTATATTGAAACTGAACTGAAATTATGGACTCAAGCACATTTAACTGTAAATTCCTTATTCTGATGAATTGACTGCAAAAGTTCTGACAAGTCCTGCCTGCCTTAGTTAATGTTACTGTTGTTGTTGTTTCTGTTCGTACTGTCCATCAAACTTTCAGCTGAACACAAACCTACCTTTGATTTACAAAATTTTCAGCGTAAGTTTAATGTCTAAGAAAATATGAATGCAGGCTAATTTAACTGAAAAATTTTGATTTTTTGAAAAATATATGCCCATTCTGAATTTAATGCCAACACCACATTGCAAAAAATTTTGGGACAGGAGCCTGTTTACCTCTGTGCTGCATTACCTCTTCTTTTAACAGCACTCAGTAAGCGTTTGGGAACTGAGGAGACCAATTGCTGTAGTTTTGAAAGTGAAATGTTTTCCCATTCTTGTTTGATAGAGGATTTCACCTGCTCAACAGTTTGGGGGGCCCATTTGTCATATTTTTCATTTAACAATGCGGTAAATGTTTTCTGTGGACTGCATTCATGCCAGTTTAGCACCCTGACTCTTTTACTATGTAAATATTAGGGGTGCGGGAAAAAATCCTCTTAGATGCATCGCGATGCAGACGTGAACGATTCTGAATTGATTCACACGTCAAAAATTGATTTTCTAAATATTTAATTTATAATGTAATGTTGATGGAACGCAAAGGGTGGAACTTGGAAGTGGGTAAGTGCAGCACCCGGACAGTCTGTGGCAGCACATAACAAAAACACTACTGGATAAGTGAAAAATCCGACCGGCTCCCTCTGCATTAAAGCCAGGTTAGATCAGGAGTCATAGCACAAATGATAAGAAGGGACATTTTGACCTTTCAACAAAAAAATCAAACCAGCTTAGGAGCCACAACATTTAATGTCCAGTATGTGATAATATCTAGCTATGTTTAGCTATAGCCGCTTTCCTTCCATCTCTGCCAGAAAACTTTTCCTCAAAAGTTGAATACTTTCTTGTAAAATGTCCTGTTTTACGAGGCTGAAGTCGCTTCTCATTCTCCAGCTTCTTGCTGAACTTTCTGGTTCCACCTTAGATTCTGACTGAGACGCTGAATGTAATTGCGGCACCATTTAAGGTGGAACAGGAAAATTAGAAAGAGAAGCGACTTCATCTTTTTAGTGTTTGACAGTCTCTCCTTGCATATTTAACGTACCAGGAAACCAACTGTGCTGCTTATAAGTTCGTTCATCTCCAAATGTTCGTCTGTCTTTCTCTTTTCTTTTTCGTTCGCTACTCGCTCGGCAAACCCTCGTTGCTACGTGACCTGCAGTCTTTCGCGCTCAACCCCCCGCCCCAATCACGAGACCAAAACCGAAGTTATAAAATCACTAAAGAATATATAATGTGCTGCGTGGTCATCCATTACCACTGGACCTTATTTCACCATAACAGCGCATTTTATCGCAGATGAGTGGCAGCAGCATCTCATGTGCTCCAAACCAGAGCAGTGAATGAGAGCCTTCTAGTTCACTTGCCACATTACTTCCATTTGATTTATTAATAAAATATATTGGACGTAAATGCACTATGGATCATTACAAATACTTTGCTTTAAAACTACCAAGTCCTCAGACAGTAAGAAAATAGAGATCATGTGTAGAAAAAAAAGATGCATCGATAATCATTTTAGAATCGCATTGCAGCCCTCTGAATCGTAATCGAATCGAATAGTGAGGTGCCTAAAGATTCACACCCCTAGTAAATATATATACCATCATGAATACTGGCTTTTGAACTGTGCACTGAAGCTGAGTGGTATCCCAGATAGCAATGAAATGTTGGCCCAGATGTGGCCCACATTTAGCCTTGATGTACAGCGTTGACTCAGGGTGAGTCTGGCTGCCTCAACTCAGCCACAGGTCCACCAAGTATGGGCCAAATCTGGGCCAAATAAATTCACCATATGCTCACCTTACATGGGTCATGTCTGGGCCAAATCAGGGCCATAGGACTTAACCTCAGCTTCACCTTATATGGGCCAGATGTCACGTGTTTTGTATACCAGATCTGGGCCAAATTAAATTTATCATGTGCTCACCTAACATGGGCCAGGTCAGTGCCAAATCAGGGACAAAGAACTTATTTATTTTATTGTCACTGCCAGCTTGTGATTGTGGATTCTTCAAGACTGCATCTAAAATAAAAAAAATAAGCAAAATTAGTAATAAACATTCACAAGATAAATGAGAGTTTTCTTATAAATGATCCTAAAAGAACAGCAGTCAGTCCAAAAAAAGCAAAGCAGATCCGTTGTTTCAAATACATAATACTAGAAATATCTTGTGCTACAGATGTAGTAATATATGTAAAGAAATATGTACTAACAATCCAAAGAGTCACACTACAAATGTTACTATAAATGAAAGTACCTGGAACAAGCTGTAAGTCCTTATCAGGTAAGAACCAGAAGCAGTAGATGGATGGCTGTAGGAAGATAACACATTTAGTAAAGGTTTAAAATACTAACTCAAATAATTGAAACAGATACAGGCATATTTATGTTGACTAACTGCATTTGCATAAGCATACACGCCTCTCAAATCCAGTAGATATTGTTTCCAAACCTGAGAAATACTGGTTTATGCAGACAGGGTTTTATGTTAACCTCTCCTGGTAGGCCAGCAGTAGCAGGGTGGACAAAGTACACAACTTCCCTACTCGAGTAAAAGCAGAAATGCTCTTAGTAAAATATTACTTAACAAATGTTAAAATTATTTTATCAATATTTGTACAAGTTTGTAAATTACTTGAGTGTCAGAATTAATAACTGTAAGTTATTGTAGAAGTCATTATCATTTCTAATAATTATTATTAAAGTATAAAAGGGCTTGAGGGAGGGTGAAAGAAGGAAATTTCAGAAACGTTAGTCTGACTGACCTCTAGTCAGTGATACCCTGTTTTCTTGTGCTACAATAAATATTCTTATTTCCCTTATCATATATAAATTGATATTTTCATTAAGTGGATGCTCAAACTCCAGTTTATACAACAAATACTGAATTCCAAACTCTGAACATTGACCTAACCTTAATTGTTGTAGACATACAAATTTAAGCATGTAAACCACAGGGCAGCACCAAATCATACCTTAGTTTAGTTAGAATAACTAACTTATTGTTTTAGCTATAACTCCAGCACCAGTCACTTGATATCTCTCCCTCAGATTTCTGTTTTATCCTCTAAACGGTCTTCTAGTATAGCTGTTAGCTAGCCTAACTTAAATAGCAACTCACAGTTTATTGCATTTACAATTAGATACTGTTGTTCTAATTGTAAAACGATACTTTTAAAGGTACTGTCATTAAAATCTCACATTATTTTTTGACAGCAAACAAAAACAGTGACTCGCTAGCTTAGAATAAACATCTGATTGAAAACTGTTGGTATGTCAAATAAACTAAGCATTACTTGCCAAACGCGTTTTGAAACCTCCCAAAGTGTGCCATTCTTGCCCGGTTGAATGTTGATGACTCATTCAGCGCATGTGCCATCAGCCCGCCTCAAAAGAGGTGGAGTCTAGCTGCCTAAATACGGATGGGCTTGGAAAAACTCTTAAATTTTAATGTATACTTATCATTTATCATTTATAACGATATAAATGTTCAATTTGTGATACAAATTACATTTCAGCATCATATTTACTTAATTTTCTTCACAAACCTTACTTTCTAGATATTCTTGTTTTCCATTTTTAACAAATAAATGTAAATTTCTGAAGTAGTTTCATGATCAAAAATAATAAAATGCTAAAAAATGATAATTATGGTCATATTTATAATGTCAAATGTTGAAGTTAAAATTTCAATGTTGATTTATAAGTATGTAAACTTTTCAGAACCGTTTAACATAGAACATTGTCTCAGCATTTTATCAACATTGAAACTGACATTTTTTCAACAAAATTTCAGTGTTGAAGGTCGGGCAGGTGCCAGGTGAAATCTCTTTTAATAATGGTGAACACTACAAGACTTCTTTTTGTTCCATTCAAATATCCTCCTTTGAGTATTAAGTGTACAGTAAGAATAGTTGCTTCTTTTGCAGACTTCCTTTATGTAATCTTGGAGTAAACACATGTGAAAAACTTGGATCAGTTTTAAAAATGGAAAACTCCTCCCTGAAAGAACTGGACCTCAGTAATAATGACCTGCAGGATTCAGGAGTGGAGCTGCTCTCTGCTGGACTGAAGAGTTCACACTGTAAACTGGAAATACTGAGGTCAGTGTTTCTGTCAGTATAATCCTGAACGATACATATTAAGGTGTGTCATTTACCTAAATATCTTTTTTTATAACCTCAATTCCATAAATAGTTGGGACTCTGTGTAAAATGTTAATAAATATATAAAAACAGAATGCAGTGACTTGCAAATCTCATAGACCCATATTTTATTCACAATAGAACATCAGAGGTTGAAACTAACATTGTACCATTTTATGAAAAATATTAACTCATTTAGAACTTGATGGCAGCAACGCATTTTAAAAAAAGTTGGGACAGGGCCGTGTCTACCATTGTGTAACATCCCCTCTTCTTTTAACAACAGTCTGAAAACTTCTGGGAAGTGAGGAGACCAATTGCTGGAGTTTTGGGAGAGGAATGTTGTCCCATTCTTGTCTGTTGTAGGATTCTAGCTGCTCAACAGTCTTGGGTCGTCTTTGCTGGATTTTTAATTTCATGGTGCGCCAAATGTTTTCTATTAGTTAATGGTCTGGACTGTGGGCAGGCAAGTTCAGCACCTGGACTCTTCTTCTGCAAAGCCATGCTGTAGTAATGGATGCAGTATGTGGTTTAGCATTGTCTTGCTGAAATATGCCAGGCCTTCCATGAAAGAGACGCTGTCTGGATGGGAGCACATGTTGTTCTAACACTTTTATATACTGTTCAGCATTGATAGTGCTTTTCCAGCCCAAGCCATAGGCACTAATGCAACCACTTACAATCAGAGATGCAGGCTTTTGAACTGTGCACTGATAACAAGCTGTATGGTACCGCTCCTTTTGAGTCTGCAGGACACAGTATCTGTGGTTTCCAAAAACATTCATCTGACCACAAAACAGTTTTCCATTTTGCCTCAGTTAATTTTAAATGAGCTTTGGCCCAGAGAAGATTCTGCAGCATGTCTGGATTGTGTTGACATATTGTTTCTTCTTTGCGTGATACAGCTTTCACTTGCATTTGTGGATTGCACAGCTAACTGTGTTCAAAGACAATGATTTCTGGAAGTGTTCCTGAGCCCATGCAGTGATTTCCAGTACAGAATCATGTCTGTTTTCAATGCAGTGCTGCCTGAGGGCCCGAAGATCATGAGCGTCCAATATTGACCATCAGCCTTGTGCCTTGTGTACAGGGATTTCTCCAGATTCTCTGAATCATTTGATGATGTTATATACTGTAGATGGCGGGATATCTAAAGTCTTCGCAATTTTAGATTTTTGTGAAATTTGTAGACGCAGTTTTTCATAAATATGTGAACCTCTGCCCAACTTTGCTTCTGAGAGACTCTGTTTCTCTAAAATACTCTTTTTATACCCAGTCATGGGAGTTAGTTGCAAATTGCTCTACCAGCTGTTTTTGTATTAGTACCACTTACTTTTCTAGCCTTTTGTTGCCCCTGTCCCAACTTTTTTGAGATACGTTGCTGCCATTTAAATGAGTTCTGAGTAAAGTTCTAAATGAGTTCATGTTTTTCATGAAATGGTAAAATGTCTCCCTTCTAACATCTGATGTGTGTTCTGTGTTCTATTGTAAATAAAATATGGGTCTATGAAATTTTCAAATCATTATACAAATCATTGCATTCTGTTTTTATTAACATTTATATACATTTTACACAGCGTCCTGACTTTTTTTACACACTTCATCCAAAGTCCTCTGTTTAACACTACTCAAATGCTTATATCCATGTCTCTAAAACTGGTTTATCTGGTGCAGACCAAAGGAGGATCGGGTTCCCTTTTAAGTCTTGCCTCCACTGTGCTTCTTCATGCATCTGCAGAATTTTCCATGGCACTTTTTCTTTGGAGGGAGAAGTGTCAAGAGTGAAGGGTGCTGTAGTGAAGAGTGCTATACAGATATCTTGGATAAAGTTCAGCTCGCAAATGAATAATGAAAACTTCTGAGTCCCATCTAATTTTATTTCATTTGTAATAAGCCTCAAAGCAGTCATATATGACATACGTTTTGTTTTTCGGAGGACATTAGATGAACAGAATTTAGATAATTTTGCCTTTCTGTGAACAAACAATTACTGTATAAATCTTTTAATTTGATCTTTTTTTTCTGCAACTTAATAGATCTGTGACAATAATGATAATGTAATAACTGTAAAATAATAACAAAACGGAATAATTGATATTTCATGATTTATACTCATTCTAAAACACAAGATAAACATTTTAAAATAACATTTCAAAATAAAACTACATTTATGTGTATTTAAAATTAAAAATACAATATCAAGATAAGAAGTGAGGTTCCAAATCCACACTGGCTTACTCGTATAGCAAAAAGGAGAACTGCTGTTTTTTTCATGTGTTTCTTGTTTGTGTTTTAATCTGTTCTTGTATATGTTTTAATCTTTTGAGTAATGTCAACAAAATGTGTAAATCAGCTTCGAAGGTTTATTTAAATTGTTGAAAAGGATAATGTGCAAAATGTAACAGAATGTGAATGTAAAATAACACTGTTATATGCCTTGAAATCCTAACACTGGATGCTGTTCTTTAGATCTGCCATTCTGTTTGCTTTTCAATATTGTAAAACTGTGTTTTAGTATGCTGTTCTGAATACTGTTCTGTTCTGTGTGATACCAAAGTAAATAGTAGCACTTCATTTTATGGTACAGTAAGTAACTATTATTTAATTGGTAACTAGCATTTACATTTCTGGTACATACTTTGCATGTACATAACAATTTATATAAAAACTACCAGGTATGTACAACAGCACAGAATTCAGCACAGAATTTAATAGATAAATATGTAAAAATTACTAGTAATGTTTGTTGCATAATTTGCAAGTTCAGATGTAACTACAGAGTAAAAAATATGAGAATTACCTGGTATATTTCAGCTTTTCTTAATTCAGTATTTCAGTAAATACATGCATATGTGATAGAGAACTACAGAGTAAAATAGAGTTAGTACCTTTATTCCAGTACAGTAATCCATTCCATATTAATTGGTGTGTTTACTAGTAGTTCTTCAGTAATACTGTGGGAATAGTAAAAAGTAGTACGGTGGTAACTGTAAAATAAAGTGAAACTTTGTACATTGTATATATATACAACAACAAAGTTGAAAAGTAAAAAATGACATTTACTCTCTTTACTGTATTTCAGCACATTTTTCCCTGTAAGGGTACCTTTTAGAATACAATTAAATTATAGTATTTTTACTTTTACTTGAGTTCATTCCAAATAAAATACTTTTATTTCACTACTTGGAGTTTTAATAACCATTACAGAGTAAAACTAAATCCACATTTCAGCTCATAAACCAATTAAAAGAGAGCCTGGTTACATTTAAAAAAATCAATTCTGAAAGCCAATCAAAACAGAGCAGCTCCAAGCCACAAAACCACTTCAGCCCTAATGAGTTCAGAGATGTTAATTTTAGAGGAAAAAGAAGAGAACATTACCAGTACACACGAGGAGCAAACGGTCGCTTCATTTGTTTCCAAATTAACTAAAGAAAACAACATTATTATCAGCTGTCAAACATGACTCCTGAAACCTCCCAAAATCTCTGCTTTTTCATAAGTTGACTGCCAGTCTGACACTTTGAGGGAGCCCTCCCTAGCTAGTTATACCTAAACAGGTATTGTGTCTCTTTTACTATTTTTTCTGGCTTTGTTGTTTTAGAATAAAATGCCAGCTGTTTGTTAAATCCAGAATCTGTTGTTTTATTTGAAGTATCTGTCAGTTAGCTACTTTATCTAACAGATGCCCACTTATAGCTTGCAGCTTGACTATATAAAATATGGTTTTATCACAGTTTTGGAAATATATGGCCATAGAAGGCTGTAATACTGGAAATTTAGTGTAACATAGGTTTCCCATAAACTCAATAATTGACCAATAATTCTTTCATGCTCAGGTTGTTATTCCCTTTTTTTAAGATTTACTGGACTAAACAGTAATCTAATCAGACTGCAGGTGGTGGGGTGTGAAGTTAATCAGAACAGATATCTATAGATATCAAAACAGATATCTATTCAGGCCTGACTTATTTTTTCGCACAAGACTCTGCAAACAGTGTTCGAACTTAAAGAGAACACAACATTTACAGTTAGCTCTTCCATCATGCAACATTTTCCATGATATGGTATAGATATCATACAATGGCCTTTAGAGGTGAACCTGCTCAACAAATCTCCCTTCAAATTGATTCAGTATGAATGAAGCACCTCGAATGTGATGAGCTCTGAGCTACAACATTTTGGAAGTGCATGACTGCATGCCATGACACTGTTCAGGGCTTGTGTCTGTGGCTGGAATATTTGCCCCTCAATCTCACCTTGCAAATGATCATTGCTGTTGTCACTAATGATTTTAATGATACAAATACACTATATGGATATCAATAAATTTGTGTAGTTTAAAAGCTGTGAATATTTACTGGTTAACTGCCTTTACAGGTTGACACCTTTTAACCCTTAGAATCCCGCGACCCTGCAGAGCATGTTTTGTTAAAATGATTACCAAAAGAGATTTGGTAAAAATGCATTAGATTTTGAGACTTCAGTGGAAAAGATGAGTGCTGAGTGATTTCTAAACAACTTGTGGCTAACTTTCAATGGTCTAAGCAAAATTAGGCCACACAGTCTCAGTAAAATCAACACATTTTCACTGGTTTTCCATTTGCTCCACACTTACTTGCACAAGCTACTAAAATCTTGCGTTTCACTTAATGTCATTGTTTTGGTTCCAGTGGCCATGAGAATGGCACAGAAGAATATCCCCATTTTCAAAATGCGTGATACTGCAGAATATGCTGCAGCAGACTGTACAGGGTAGAGGGAAGAAGGACGCATCTAACACCCCTTATGGTTCCCTATAAAAAGTGCCTATGAAGACCATGCCAATGCATTCATACTGTTACCTAGAAAAAGCACATATAAGCTTCATTTTTTTCAAAGCTTTGTGAGACTTTGGCACATGGGGTGATACTTTGCTCTTTAATGTATTTATATTTAAAGGAATACAAATAGTTTGTTTTTTGTGGTTTTTCAATTATATAATTAAAAACTGTGTTATACTGCATCTCAGAGATGTATATATCTAGATCCCAGCACTTAGCTGTGATTCATAGACATGCAATACTTACATACTGCAGTCATAAATGAATAACTGAGCTTAGAAATAAAGTTTGCAAAATATGCCCAGGAATGGCTTGGTGCTCTAATAATGTAAGCTAACATTCAAGGGCAGTAGTATTTGCACATAAAAATGTTTGTTTTCTTGTATCTGTGATATGCAGAGTGTAACCATATATACTGTAATGTTCACATAATCATACATAATGTTATGGATCTGATATAGGATAACCCCTTAAAATCCCAGTCTTATTATGTACTTAGGCTTATTATTCAGTAACAAAAAGAACCACAAAGGAAACTGAGATATTCTTAACCATTTAAGGGGTTATAGCACAGCATCGGTAAGTGGTGTCTATATGTTAGGTGTGAAATATGTATGAATAAACCAAAACAATAACATGAAGGCAAAAATGAAAATGTATTGTACTAAAAGCAATGATCTACTGCACACAACTAATTGGATTTAAGAATTCAGGTTTGACCCACAGACAACATAACATTCCAAACTACTTGGAAGTGGCTAATTTACTTATACAAAGAAAACAAAAAACATAGAAACATTCCTCTGTCACTAATTACAAACACACACATCCACCCCCCACACAGACACACAGTCACACTCAGAAGGACAGACTTGCTAATATGTAAAATATATACGGAATACTGAAGAATTGAAAAAGGCAAACGCAAAAAGCACAGCGGAGAAATAAATGTAGATTAATGAGTCCAGTTGCAATATTTAATTGGCCAGTGAGTGCATCTCAAACATTTCCTCACAAAGCAACAAGAGGCAAGAAAACCTGAAAGTGGACTGGCATACTGGATTGGGTGTTACTGGTGAATTTCTGAGAATAATCTGGTACAGTTCAATCCAGTACTCCAGCCCTCATCATCTGGGTTTTTACACATCTGATCCTGTCATCGCTATAGCACATTCCAAATGTACCAGTAAACATACCATTCAATATGGAATTAATTACTATAAAGGAAAAAGACATACTGAGGACTCTGTGGTGGGTACCTGTCGATACCCATAACTTACTCTTCTCTATCACATAGGCTTGTATTTCCTGAAACAGTTTGGTAGTCCTTGCCATTACTATGTAACTTCTTAGCAGTAAAAGCTGAAATATACTTTGTATTTGTCACATTAGTTATTCTGTACTACATTGGCAAAGTATACGCCAGGTATTACCTGTAATTTGTTTTTACATGTATTTACCATTCAAGTCTGTGTAAGTACTGCTGTGCATACCTGGCATGTACTATGTATGTGCCACATACATACCAGAAAATTAGTACTACATATTCCCTTTTAAATACTAGGTATGTGTTGTACCATAATATAAAGTAAAACTTCTCTTTCAGTCTCCCTTTTCCTTCTCTGCAGATTATCTGGTTGTATGATCACAGAGGAAGGCGTTCTTCTCTGGCTTCAGCTCTGAGTGTAAACCCCTCACACCTGAAAGAACTGGATCTGACCTACAATCATCCAGGAGAGTCAGGAGTAAAGCTGCTCTCAGCTAGACGAGAGGATCCACACTGCTCACTGAGCACTCTCAGGTATGAGAAACTGTGTTCAGAGTTGGATGTGTGTGTGTGTGTGTGTGTGGAATGAGACAGATTGAATCACTAAAGACAGGAATGATCTGACAGAACACTCCAGCACATTGATCCTAGTTAATGTAGGCTCTAATGTTGAGGACTGTTGCTCACACCCACCTAGGCTGCTGTCACTCTCATAGATTACTGTCACTCTTCTAGAATTCTAGAATGCTACTAACTGAACACTGTCAGTAAATTTAGTGTGAATATTGCTGTCTGTGTCCATTACAGAAACTGTATTATATATTTACACTTAATGTCATGGGACTGTCTGGGAGTGGACCCAAGCGCAGAGAAGAAAACCTGTGAGGAAGGGCCTTGAAAAAATAATATAACAAATAGACTTATTTATTCACTTTAGTGGTAGTTTTATAGTGTCCTGTGATGTGATAAACAATGATTTGTGGACAGTGAGTGTGCTGTGTATTGTTGGAGGGTAGTAACTTCTAGCTGGATTTGAACCAGCAACCCTAGCCTTGCAAACCCTGCACCCTACCACTGTGCCACTGAAGAGCACAGACAATATGTGGAATAACACCCTTCTGAATGGTGGGGGAAAAAAAACAGGAAATCAAACGAAGATCCTCAAAATGGCATAACACAAACAAAGGAAACCGAATAAAAGAAACCGAATAAATAACCAAACCAAAATACCTCTCAAGGTAAAGATGGGAAGTTGACTATATTTCAGCCTGTTCTTTCTTTTTTGTTTCAGTTCTTTTTCTTCTTGTCTTAAATCAAAACAATGTTTTCTTTTTCCTTCTTTCCTTTTTCTCTTTTCTTTTCAGTCCATTGACCTAGAGCAGTGCTCTGTTTTCTCATCTTTGTTTTTTTACACCTCTACAAAGGTGTGACTGATTACCCCTTGGTATTCTGGAATTTGAGTCTCCTGTAGTAGATTTATTCTGTGACTGTGTTAGGGTAGAAGAGTGATTGTTGGTTTTTGTTGTTTAATGGTGATCTTAAGGTGAATTTTTTTGTTGACCTGACAGTGCACACATTACACAGTTCAACATTTTCTTATTCTGCCATTTCTGATTTAATGCAAAAAATTAAATACTGAAAAGTGCATGAGCTTTAACACATTGCACTTTTGCACATTACGTCTTTAATATGGAGGCCTTTAAAGTGCCCTGATGTTCAAAATATCCTGTCGCATGAAAATATATATGAGAAGTGTCTGTCATATGAAATAAAGCAATGGGCACTTTTCAAAATTGTTTTACAAGCAAACTAATTATGGACAGCTGCAGCTTTACTTCAGGTAGGCCTACAGAATGCATACAGTGGGGAATATAACTATTCCACCTCCACATACCAATACTGGCTGGCCATGATCTTTGGGTCCTCAGGCATCACTGCATTAAAAACAGACATGATTCTGTAGAGGAAATAACTACA